CAACTCCAGTATTTTCTGTTGTTTAATTTTTCTACCACCGGCAGCCATTTAATTATTAATTTTTATTGTTTGTAATTTCACCACGTATTACCTTATTTGCCGTTCAGGCGATTTGTCTGGTCTTTCTAAGTATCCGAAAGAAATTTAACATCAACTATGAAACGGAATGAAAGTTAAAGGCGGATGAATGTAAAGGACCATCAGGAAAGTACCAATATATATATATATATATATATATATATATATATATATATATATATATATATATATATATATATATATATATATATATATATATATATATATGCAAATAAATCACTGTAGGTGAGCGTGATCCAGGTATATGCTGATAACCTTGTGGTTATCAGCATATATATATATATATATATATATATATATATATATATATATATATATATATATATATATATATATATATATATATATATATATATATATATATATATATATATATATATACATACGGTACACGGAAATGTGGGAAAACAGATTGTCGTGATAAAATGTCAGCAGAATCAGCACTGAAGTCAACTAAAAACTTATCGCCTATTGTGCTGACTCTACTGTCTACTGTAGTACACTCCGTAACCCGATAACCTGCAAGTCGCTAATTCAAGTATTTCTTTAACAAGTGGTAAAAGAAGAACAGAAATAATTAAAGCTCACGTTTCGGTAAATTGTAGCTAGTTAGCAATGAAGACAGTTAAATCATACGATTCACCCAGTAATACTTAACTTGCAGTACTATATCCGCACAGCATATAACCAAGATATGAAGCAAGTTTAACTTTGATAATTTACTGAAAATGTACAGTGTGTTTTGCACTCACAAGAAAACTGTAGTTTAAAAAGTATTGAATGTAGATACTAACATAACATGAGTTTCAAACATTTATTTGAGTAAGAAAGAAACTAGCGAATACACACACCAGTGCGTAACAGAGACGTGACCGTGTGGGGGTATGTTATATTTGTTCACACTCAGGATGGGATGGAGAAAGGAAACTCACAATGTGCTCACTGGATACATATTGTATTGGATGTACAATGCAGCTTGTTGCTGGGTAGGTAGCATGGTAATAAGCGTTGAGTAGAGAGAGTTCGGTGGTGAGGGTGCCCAGAGTGAGGGCACGCGGCTTGAGGGACGCCAAGGTCGCTGGCGGGAGCGGCAGCCGCAAGGCTGGCGCAGAGGAGGTGTTGCTTGCTGGTGGCACTGTGTAGAAAGAGCTGGTCACAGCGGTGTCAGGCCTTATAAGGCGGGGGTAGGCGTGGGTAGATAGTTGACCCCCGCTCCGTGGGCGGCGCTGGAGGCGTAGGCTGGGGAATTCCAGAAGGTTCGGTGCTTGTAGGGGAGGAATCCACTACAATACTCTCCTTCCCCTCCGGGCGCGGCGGGAGGCTGGAGGTTGGCAGAGTTGCGTGCCACATGTGAGGCAGAACGGCGAGGGCGTGGATGAGCCGGCCGCTAGGGGGGGGGCAACTCTGTCTAGATACTCGGGATCTGTGGGAGAAAAGAGGGAGAAGGTGGGTTGTGGAGGCGATGAATGTTGTGCTTCACTTGCGACAGGTACAGAGTCCTCAGATGCGCCTGCTGGGGTGTGTGGGCCTGGGTCAGGAGCAGGGGCTGCGTTAGGAAGAGTGTCCATGACAGCAGCAGGGTGCATGACAGCAGCAGGGCCCACGACAGCAGCAGGATGCAGGACAGTAGCAGGGGGTACCTGAGGGAGAAAAGAGGGGTGTATGGGTCCGCACTCAGGCGCATGGGCCGCGTCGGGAGCAGGGGCTGCATCAGGAGCGGCAGGGGGTACTGCTGGGCCGGGGGCGGCGTCTGAGGTAGGACGTGGTGCTTGGGGCAGGAAGAGGAGCGGCTATCTGCTTAGAGTAGCAGAGCTGCTCTAGGGTGTCTAACCTGCAGTGTAGAGACAGTAGCTGTAGAGCCGATGAGAGCTGCCTCTGTGTGGATAAGCCAGTCTTCCATGTTGCTTGAAGACTGGGAGAGTGATCGGTTTCTCCTCCATCCTGTGTGAGTGCGAATCTCCGGGGGTCACCATTTGTGGGGGTATGTTATATTTGTTCACACTCAGGATGGGATGGAGAAAGGAAACTCACAATGTGCTCACTGTATACATATTGTATTGGATGTACAATGCATCTTGTTGCTGGGTAGGTAGCATGGTAATAAGCGTTGAGTAGAGAGAGTTGGGTGGTGAGGGTGCCCAGAGTGAGGGCACGCGGCTTGAGGGACGCCTAGGTCGCTGGCGGCGGCTGGCGCGGAGGAGGTGATGTTGCTTGCTGGTGGCACTGTGTAGAAAGAGCTGGTCACAGCGGTGTCAGGCCTTATAAGGCGGGGGTAGGCGTGGGTAGATAGTTGAACCCCGCTCCGTGGGCGGCGCTGGGGGCGTAGGCTGGGGAATTCGAGAAGGTTCGGTGCTTGGAGGGGAGGAATCCACTACAACCGATCGCCCAAACGACTAACGAGCCGATCAGTGGTGAAGAGCATAAAACTAAAACTATAAGGTTATTTTTCCATTTGTCTCGTTTAGAAACAACGTAAACAGTGATTACAGGTCCTAGTTGCTGGGGTACACATGTAAATACATAAAATCTCTCATCACTAGTTTAAATTTAAATACTGTTCCAGTATAAAAAGTGGTGAATTTATGATTTTACACCGGACTTTCTTTCGCTGTTATTAATATGTGTTTCGTAATGTTTAGACACTTCTAAGACATTTTTCCTCTTTGGTATTTCCACCGAAAGTTAAGGATAACCGAGATATTAATTTTTCAATATTATTACTTTCGCTCATTCACTAGTGTCGGAGGAAATAGATATCAAATTCATTTGAAACTCCTCAAAAACCAAAAGAAAATACTATTTATAGTATATAAATAAAGTCCGGTGTCAATATCAATTGACCTAAAAAGTTGTCGTCTCTTATAAAATACTTACTAAAATGATAAGAATACCTGGAAAAAATTAACGAAATCGAATAGCTCTTTCTGGTGGTAGTGATGTTCTCAGAAAAAAATGAAAGCCTGACCTAACCTTTTCTAACCCAGAGAACTCCAAATAGTAAAACAAAAAAAATTACCTTATTTAACTGTTTTGCCAGTGTCATTTATTTTTTCGGCATTTAGGTACCAAGGGAGGCCTAAATACATCTAGTAGAATTTTTTCTTTGTACATACGTAAATCTCCCGATAAATGTGTTAGCACATTAAAATTCCGTCAGTAATAATGTATCTTGGTCCCATGTTGGTCACATCCACGAAATGTAAACACAATTGGTTGTGTATGAAACCAGGTTTACCGATTCAGTTATTGCGCGTCTATCACAAAAGGTTAGGTAGGTTTTTAATAGTTTATGATCATTTTTGTTTAACTTCTCATATTCAAAGACCTGGCCACTTTGGGAGATTCATTGTTGTTACTACAACAGTGTTATAGGAAACAAAGGTCATATTTATTTTCTGTATTAGAAAACTATGAAAGAGAAAGTGATAAAATTAACATCTCAGTCGTGCACATATTTCCGAAGGTCAGAATCGTTGAAAACACATGAAAAACCATTGGAAAAACATTATTTTTTTTCGGCCATGCAGCAAGTTTTGGTTTAGTTTAGGTTAGATTACGTTAGGTTGAAATTCTAATACCGAAGAACCTATTTGAGTAATCAATTTCTCCATGTGGTATTAAACGAATAATTACCCACTCTAATATACAGTATGCTCCCCCCCCCCCCAAGTTAGCGGATTTTTACTTCGCTGTTCTCAGTTATTCACGGATGACATCTTGGATGTACCCAAGAATGTCTGTGGGTAGTTGTCAAGTTGCCTGCATTTTCGCGGCTGAGACGGAACCATTCGTTCTAGAGACAGTAATTTCCTTTACCTGTATTGTAAATATGTGTGTTTATTGGAAAGATCGTTAGTTCGAATTCTCAAAAGATCGAGTTATTTTTTTATCTTAAGTTCGAACTTACGATCTTTGTAATTATCAAAAGATCGTAAGTTCGAACTTAAGAGAAAAAAATAACGTACGAGTAGATGCTTACGATATATATATATATATATATATATATATATATATATATATATATATATATATATATATATATATATAGAGGATAAAAAAAAGAACTGTCACGGAACTAAGTAAGTTTCTCTTTTAAAATATCGCATATACCTAGATCACGCGCACCTACGGCGATATTTGCATATATATATATATATATATATATATATATATATATATATATATATATATATATATATATATTGATAAAATCACACAGGGAAAAGGGAAACAATGGAGCACCTTAGCTTTCGTCTTTACTCAAGACATCTTCAGAGTTGTCTCTGAAGATGTCTTGAGTAAAGACGAAAGCTAAGGTGCTCCATTGTTTCCCTTTTCCCTGTGTGATTTTATCAAGGTTTATCTTATCCACATTTTCATTGTGGATCTCTCTCTCTCTCTCTCTCTCTCTCTCTCTCTCTCTCTCTCTCTCTATATATATATATATATATATATATATATATATATATATATATATTCGCGCAAATTATATTAATTGTTTATCTTGTTTTACATCGTCAGCTTTTACCTGTACATAACTAAATAGAAGACCCGGGAACACACCCAGGAAAAACGTTTTCTCTGACGTTCGTATTAATGATGCCTGACATATCCGAATATGTGTACTGTACTGTATAATGAGTCATAAGAGAGATAGATAGAGAGAGAGAGATCCAAATTTGGTAATATCTCTAGTTGTATTGAACATAAACGTGCTATAGGTTATGTACAGGTAAAAGCTGGCGATGTACAAGAACATAAACAATTAATACATTTTACACGAATAAATCCAAAAGATTAGATTTCAGTGTAGTTGTGTCAACCTATAAGAGGAAAATATAGGTTTCAAGGGAATCTTTTCGGGTGGAGGGAGTGTGGTATAGTGGAGTGTCTGCCGTTGCGCCATGTCGCGTCACTCGACAACAGCGCTAACAAATACACTGTCTTCTCACCAGTGGCTACACACCAGTCTGGGTGCCGCCAGTGAACACGACGGACACGCTGCCTCTCTCCAGGTATTCTCATCTGGGATGTCTTTCAGATTTCCCCAAGTGCTGTAATAGGTGTATTATAGTGCAGTGATTATGTGGTGAATGTGGAGATGCCTACGTTATCGCCTCCCAAAATACCCACCAGGAATATAAACAGGATGGCGAAAAATAACCTCCCGAATACGACGCATATTTCGTGTTTGGCAGGATAACTTAGCCAGTTTATAAGTTTTCACGTGAATTTTTGAAACTGGACTGTTTTTTCCGAAAAGGTGCCCAAATGAATTACAGAACTAATGATTTAAAAAAACAACATTATTGTAGGATGAGTCACGACGTGGCGATAAATAGCCAAATTACAGTTGCGTAGTAACTCAGTGTTTTTATTTCATGTGAATATTCTATGATTGACACATTTATATATATGTATGCACTTATACAATGAAAAGTGACACCATACCCCCATAAATATAACAGTTCGAGAATATGGCACCTCAAAAAATATGGTTGCTGAGGAGGGATATGCACTCTACAGTAACTAGTGTAAAATAAATAAAGAAAATTATGCGGTCGACAGGAAAAAATCTCGCTTTATTCATAAATATTAGATAAATGCAATAATGTGTTAAATTTAGAAGACCAAAATACTATAAACAAATCGTTCGAGTGGCTGACTATTGCATGATGACACTCCCTATGGGCGGGCAGATAAATTAATAATGCAACGGAATATGTCGGGTTGATAGTTTTCACCGCCAAATATCAGAAGGAGTCACGGTCATTGTTATTTATGTCCTTGGTAACTTAGGTAAAAATGCAGCTGACTGGCATGAGATTAGGAATGCATTGCGTCATTGTTTGCAATGGAGTAAACATGAGGTGGTTCTTAGTTCCCCGTGGGGCGAGGTACACGGTCTTTGTTACTGAATCTTACTGAATAAGCCATGACCGATAAAACTGAATCCACACAAAAACAGTAATGTTAGAAACCATAAAAAATTAAGATTTACAGTATAAGTAATGACATTCTAAAATAATAGTTCTTCATCAAGAATGCAGTATGTACAGTAGATGTTTAAGACTTATTGTACTGTATATTTTCTGGTGACATTTAAAGAACATATGTCTATTTTATATTTTTAGAAGTATTTTGACCTTCCTGGGAACTGTAGGAATACTTTGTTAGTGTGGGATGGGTAGACGAGTCAAAAGGCAAGGGCTATGTTGCCTCACCGTCGCTAGAGTTGAGTTCTCTCCTTTTCCACTAAACACTTGACCCTTGTGTATAAACGAGACAGGTTCCATCATTGCATCATCTACCACAGTGAATTAACTTAATACTTATTTTTATTTTTTTCTTGATAAAGCACTTGAGCGATTTTTGTTGTTACTTTATTTAAAGGCACACGATTTTTCAGTGACATTTTATAAATGATTAGTCAGAGCACGTTATTAGGAAGAATTAGTTTACTAAATTTTTAATAGTTTTTATTGAGTGTTTTTACCCACCTCAGACTATATGTTTAAAGATCCTAGTTGTTGAAATGCATATAGCTTAAACAGCAAAAATGACCGAGGCTGTCTAATGGTGCATTTTGATTAAGTGACTTTTGATGCGCTTGCAATCTTTTCCGTGGCAGACTCCTCAGAAGGTAGACAAAGATCATATCACAACAAATAGCTTACTTAACTATTTAGTCATTAAAAACGGAGAGGATAAAAATAAATGTAATGTAAAAGTCTTCTGTCCCCTAAAAAAATATATTTTAGAGCGGTGTTCATTTTGATACATTTTCTATGATCCCGCTAGCACCCAGTTTCAAAACATGACGTCATAATCTTATCACGTGATCGCAACCACCAATCGATGCAAGGATATGTACTGCAGTTTTAATACTTTTCTTAATCCATTCTAATTGTCGATTGGCTACAGTATTTTTGTTTTCTTATGAATCGTTGGTAAAATATTTTAGTCTCCTCGGGTAATGATTGGGCTTAATGGTTTTCTTTGTTTATCATTTCGTGTAATTGTTCTTCGAAAGGCCTATTAGGGAGATTATGATTATATGATACCACTTCTGGTGTTTAAAAAAATCACACACACACAGGTCGTATTTTATTTATAAAGTATGTACGTGTTCTCACATTAGAGAGGGGTGGATTTTATGTGACAGTATGCTTTATCAACCGCCTACTTCAGATCGAGCAGACTAATGTAATGAACCATTGCTGTTGGGTGAAAAAAAATTATTGGTTGAAAATAATGGGTACTAGCATATATTATGGATAGAAAAGCATTGGTACTAGCAGGGCCGGATTCAGGAGTGGGCAGCTGCCCAGGGGCCTCCACAATCTGGGGACCTCCACAATCTGGGGACCTCCACATATTACATCTAACCTTGGACTTAAAGAAGCCTATACTGTACATGCATTCTTGGACAGAACCATTATTTGAATAGAGGTTTATCTTTTTTTTTTTTTTTTTTTTTTTTTTTTTTTTTTTTTTTTTTTTTTTGCATCCCCCTACATCCTTGTGTAAGGTGAAGTGCAGAAGCGTTTACAGCGCCCAACAGGGAAGCATGCTAAGTTCATGCTTGCCTTCATGTCTCATGAGTTAAGGGCCTAGAAGCCTGAAGAGTCAAGGGCGTAGAAGCCTGAAGAGTCAGTGGTTTATGTCATCAAGTTATTGGAAGCTCCAACAACTTGTCCCTGAATACGAATTCGCAACTTTCGACTTACACCAGGTACCTACTTTACTGCTAGGTGAACAGGGACTAATGGGGGCTAGGAAGTATGTCCAAACAACTTCCACCGGCCCGGGAATCGAACCCGTGACATCTCGCTTGCGAGGCAAGAACGGTACCGCTTCTACCACCGGTCCCCCATTTATCTGAATAATAACGCAAAGAATCATCTCTCTGTAATAACTAATAATATATTCTTTTCTGTGAAGTCTTGAAAATTTTTGACATGTGCGGTAGTAGCTATATCAGGGCTGGTCAACTTGAAACCACATGAATGACTCCAGTCATGTCTCACTTTTGTGTGTGTGTGTTGGGAATTTGTACACTGTCAATAAATATACAGTTAATTAAAAATTTCTCAATGTTCTAATTTCCTCAATATAACTGCATATGGCTTCAAAATTCTCCAAAGAAGTGTTCAAATTTCAAAATTTTCCCGGGGGGGGGTCTTACAGCGCCCCCCGGAACTCCCAGATGTTTAGGCTCGCTTCACTCGCCACCCCACCCTCTTAAGTAGTTATAATGAGGGGGGCCTCCACAAAGAGGCTGCCCATGGGCCTCCACAGGTCTAAATCCGGCACTGGGTACGAGCATGTATTACTGATTGACAACTTTGGGAACTAACATGTATTATTGACTGAAAAGGCTGGGTACCATTACTTATTATCATTGGTGTTCATAGCATGTATTATCTTGGTTGAAAAGGCTGAGTACTGTACTAACAAATGGGGAAAATGAGGTTGGTTGAACGTTAGATGAGGCGATGCTGTTTTTCCATTTATGAGGGGTTTTCAAGGGGAAACCGTTATCGTGTTGGTGAGGTATCTCAAATATTTTAAATTTAATAGAAATTAAGATAAGATGAAAAGTGGATGTTTTTCTTAAAAGTCAGGAGTAAATTGTTAGGTATAAAATTAATGGATAGAAACTTTCAGCTGCATACAATCAATTTAGGTTTTCTGTATACTGCATTTACTTTTTACTCTTATCCTCTTCGCCACTGATTGGCTTGTTAGCCGCTTGGGTCACATCTCTGTTGGCAAGTACTGGGCATGCACTGTCTCCTGAATATATTGGAACCTGCTCCAGTGTTGGTCAATTCTGGCTTTGAATGAGCTCACATTGGGTGCCGTCACAAAGCTTTTCTGATAGATTGTTCCAAGGGTTCACAACTTGCACTCCAAAAAAGTTTGCTCTCACAGTTTTCTGGACTTGTGGCTTCTTCAACCTTGAGCTGTGACCCCTTGTGGGGCAGACATCCGCCAGCTCCAGGTAAGTACATTTGATCGATTAGTGCCCCCTGAGATGTTTATACACTTCGATTAGGTCACCCCTTGCCCGTCTGTAGTATAAGCTAGGTAGTTGCAGGCATTCTCCTGTTTTTGTACAACAGTTCTACAACACCTACTATATTGGGTTGATGTAACCTCAGCAGTGTTTCAAACTCCACTCTCTTGTCAAGAACGTGTACATGATTTTCAAGCAGGATTTTGTTTTCGATAATGTCCCTGGTCTTGACTCCGGCCCCCCTCCATTCTTTTTAGCTGCCTCGTTTACTGTATCATGTGTGTTTTGTGGGGTGTGGTTAGAGATGACATTGTTTACATGGCGCTTGGATAGGAGCGGATGGCGAGTGTTCCCCTGGCTCTGAACTGGTGCACTTGCCTCCACTACCTTCTCCCTGTATTTAATCCATGTATGTCCGTCCCCATTCCTCATCAACTCCTCCCTCTTCTGCTTCAAGGACTCCCATGAGTTTTTTGTGCCGTTCCCTCAGCATTACCATGCGATCTGGTTTTATGAATATACCCTGAAATGCATCGCTCCTTGCTAAATATTTTGCTTGCTGAATAACTTCTCATTTCTTACCCTCACTCACTCGTGTGATCTGAGGGGACAGGGCTTGTCCTCCTGCCTTTGCCCTAGCCTCCTCACATCCTGAGTGGGAGCTGATAATTTCAGAGCCTCATCACAAATATTCTGAAATTTCAACTTGTCGTGCATTTTCCTAGTTTCAGCTGCTTCCAACTGGCTCTCAGGGACTCCAAACACTATTATGTTGTTTCTACGCTCTGAACGTTACCATTTCTCCTCTTCGCCCATGTCAGTAGGTCTACTAGTTGTCAACTCTTCAACACACTTCTGCAGAGTCCCTAGTCGTCGGAGGACCTGTTCAGATCCTGCAGTACGTACTCTCCGTCACCTTGTGTGATCCTGCTACAACCTGAGCATAGCTCCTCTTAACTACTACTGTTGTCAGCTACTTTCCCAGTCTTAGTGAGGATCTCTTTCCCAACCTGCTCCAGCTTGGCAACCAATGCAGATTTAGCTTACTCTATTTTTGTCTCTTAAGTATCTCTTTCCCATGTGATCTGCAAATGCCTCATTTTATTTTGATTTTGTAGTTAGGGCAATACCAGCAACAGCCTTCATGCTTTACCGTATTCAGCAACGTATTCAGCTGTCAAACCAGTGTTTGACAGCTGTCACTGTTGTAGAGTGTGGTGGGGTGTGCAGACTCTGTAAGAATCTTCGTAGGGTGTTTGGTTCCAGTTTTCCTTGACGAGATTTTGGTATCTCTATGTGCTATCACTGTACACTATCTTGTCATGAATGGTGGATCATATGCACAATCACAGTCCTTTAGAAAACACAGAAAAATTAAATAAAACTTTCTTTGTGGTGGCAACAATGCCTTCGAGACAGTTTGGCTTTTTTCTTTTTTTTTAACTATTACCCTGTATTCACTTATGTTCTCTTTTCCAGTTCTCATCAACGAATTTATCTCTATGTACTATCACTGTATACACTGTATCTCCCTATGACAGGTGATTGTAATCACAATTACAGTCCTTGAGAAAACACACACACAAAAGAAAAACTTCCTTTGTGGCACTAAATAATATGTCTTGGCTACCACCAGGCACTGGTGCCTGATTCTTTGTCCCAATTTTATTTTTCATTTCAATTTATTTACAGTCTCCACCACATCCACTGTTGTCACTATGGACTGTCTTAGCTAAAGGCACAATACTACACACTGATCGGCCTTTGGATGGTCAATCACAGCCATGAGCGCAACTCATTTAGAATTTTCTGGATAAATCGTGTCATATGGCAATGATTTTGTGGTTGTATACCTCCCAGCCTATTTCTCTGGTCAGTAGAGAGTTTTCAATATACAATTGCGAATAACGTTAAAACTCCTACATTGATTTACACATTCACATCACTAAGACAATCTTGATGCTCTTATGTCATCACTGTCTAATTGCCGGCTCTCAACAACAAAGGCCCGAGTGCCAACATGTTACAGAGATGCGACATGACCCTCACAACCCTAGCTGCAAATAACCTTAATCTCTATGCATGCATCAAAGATTTATAATAACATCATCCCATAGCTTATAACAATGGTTATTTAAGAATACTGTACTCCACACTGCCTAAATGGCCGACAAATATATATTCTTGGCAATAAACTGCAAGGAAATGATTCTTTTAAATTGACTTTAAATTAGTTTATTTGCACATTCTTAACTTATGGAGATCTTGGAAAAAATAGGCATTAATGAAGGAGATATTAGAATTTAATTTTGTTTTTACTGGCAACATGAGGCTGCAATTTTAGTAAATAAAACTGTACAGTAATGAACTCATTAATTGGTTTACAATGAGACAGTAATAGAGTAATAGACAGTAATAGAGGCTGTGTTCTTTCTTCAACATTGTAAAATATACCTGAATATTCAGAATTCTTAATGAGAGAAGGTATAAGTGATAATGAAGGACTAAAAGTTAATGGTAAAGTATTATCAATATACATTATACAGAGGATACTGCTCTTATCAAAGATAGTAAAGAGGCATTACAAAAACTCTCTAACATTAGTGGAAAAAGGTGAAAAATATTCTTTCAGAGTTAATGCTGTAAAGACTAAAGTAATGGTTGTTTCCAAATTGGAAATTAATCCTAAAATAAAAATTATTGTAAGCAACTGGGAACTTGAACAAGTTAAAGTTTTGTGCATTTGGGAAGTAACATTAGCTGTGATGTTAGATGTGTGGAAGAAATCAAAACAAGAATAGGGCAAGCAAAAACAGTACAGTGACCCCTCGTTTAACGAACACCTCGGTTAACGTAATTTCGATTAACGAACTGCCTTCCATAAGGATCTTCAATTCGGTTAACGAAAAAAAATTCGCTTAACGAACTTCTTACGAACCGACCTCAACATGTTTTCGCTTGCACTGACCGGGCAACCAGCTTTAGTATCAGTCCGCCAATACATTAATCGGTTCTAGGGCTTAAATTCCTTACTATTTTTGTAAATATCAAGAAGTTTATACTATTCAATAATTTTAAAAGTTTAATATTCAATTTTTTAGTCATTTTAACAATTATTGAACGAAATTGAAGGTAAAGTGACTAGTTTAATGCGCGGCATCCAGCCTCTTAACACAGCAAACAGGCGTCAGTCTCTCTCTGTTTTCACTGGAGGTAACATCTTGCTTGAGACTCTCTTCAACTAAATGCTTTTTTTCTGTGTTTCCAAGCAAATTATTGGTCATTTTGAAATATATTTTATATATTGACAATATATAATGCAGTGCAGCATTGATTTAAAGAAAATAATCTTGAATTAAACCAGAGAGCTAAAATTTTATGGGTGAAATGGCACCATGGGGTGACTTCTCTTCCACCCCAATGCCTTCTCTTCTTCCTTCTCCTCCACCCCCATTCTAAATCCCATCATCATCATCATCATCCAGGAGCCTTCTACATACACACCTCAAAGTAAGTGAACTTTTCTACCATTTTTGTTGAATTTAGGAAATTTTCGGTGAGCTGGAAAATTACCCAAAAACCCATTGAAACAATGGTTTCGTGAACGTTTCGGTTAACGAACGACCTTCTGGAACGGATTGAGTTAGATTAACCCGAGGAACTCTATTTATATCATGATCTAAAAGACCCAATGAAAATAGACATTAACTTCAACATGAAAAAAGTGCTACTGAAAGGCTTCGCCGTACAGTATAAGGCAAGGACTCGTGTATGGGTCAGAAGCATGGACACTTTCAGCAAACACCAGAAAGAGGTTGGAGGCTTTTGAAATGTGGTACTATAGGCGAATGCTAAGAATAAGCTACACTGACAGGAAAACAAATGATGAGGTACAGGTACTAAGATTAGCAAAAACTTCAAGAGAAATACTTGAAATGTACAGAAAAAGACAAATTAGATGCTTTGATCGCATAATTAGGTATGAGGAGATAATAATAGAAATTAATGGGCATAGTTGAGGGTAGGAGGGTCAGGGGAAGGCAGAGACTGGAATAGATGCATGAAATTAAAAACTGGATCTCCAAAGAGATAAAAAACCTTAAGACTGGCTTTGAGGATTGGTAAAAACAGCCCGAGAACATTTACAGTGAAAGACTGTGGTCACTAACCCTCAGATATGAGGGCGATACTCTGATGGATTGATCTGCAATACAGCAAATCTTGGTCAAAAACCAATACAAATAAGTGCTTCAGATAGATTATTTAGTGAGCATTATTGCAATAGTAGAGTCACTTATGCATAATTTAGATATAGAAATTACACATTTTTGATGATAATTTTTAAGGGTGTTCTTCGCAGGTGAGGCAGCAGTCCCTGGGACATACAAGAAGCAGGTGGCGTCAGTGACATGGGCGTCGCCTGCATGAAAGAGGACCCTGATCCAGGCCCCAAGAACATGGCCCTCCACGAGTCTACCGATGACGCCACCACCACTCCAGAAGTAGCCAAAACAAGAAAAACAGGTGACGCAGAGTCATCAAACACAGCCATGACGAGTAACGTGACTAAAACCAGTGTAAGTGCGGACGGGGAACTCAGACCTACAGCCCAAACGAATGAAAATGTAGGACCTCACCCAGCCACAACCTCTGACACGAATGTAGAGGCATCACAAGTGTCATCCTCAAGGGGAGATGTGAGTGTAAGTGATGGCATTGTCGATAAGGCTTTGACCATTGACAGTGAGAATACAACCCTGGCAGCAACTGGAGGTGATGATCAGTCAGTGGCTGGTGGTAGTCAGTGCTCATTTACAGCCAGTGACAATACTGACTCCGCTGCAATCAATAGAAATCAAGAATCAGCCAATGACTATCATGAACAAGAAGGGGCCATTGGCAAACAAGAACCAGCTATAACTAATGGCTTTCACACCCCAAAAGGAGCTGGCAACCAAGAACCAAAAGTAGCCAATGGTAACCAAGAACCAGCAGGATCCAATGGCAACCTAGGTCAAACAGTAGCCAATGGCAATCAAGAACTGACAGTTCCCAATGACAGCCAAGAACCAGATGAAGTCAGTGGCAACCAAGAACCAGCAGCGACCAATGGCAACCAAGCAATAGCAGCAGCCAATGACATGCAAGAAGTAGATGAAGCCAGTGGCAATCAAGAACTAGCAGTAATTAATAACAACCCAGAACCAGCAGTAGCGATTGGCAACCAAGAACCAACAGTGACAAATGGCAATCAAGAACCAGGAGCCAGTGGCAACCAAGATCCACCAACTCCCAATGGCAACCAAGAATTAGCATTAACCAATGGCAACCAAGAACCAGCAGAATCCAATGGCAACCAAGAACCAGCAGTGACATCCGCCGACCAAGCCACAACAACAGCTCGAGAGATGGCAAGTGAAGACACAGACAGCGAAAGTGAGGAGGAAGATGACGACGATGAGAACAATGAAGAGGCTCGTAGAAGAGAGGATACACGGAGAGAAGAGCTGGAGAGTAAACTGTTGTGGCTGAGGAAGGTCGAGGACAGGGAGAGGTTTATGAAGAACATGGCACCTCAGTACTTCCTCCTGACCCTCAAATCCAACGCTCCACTGGAGGAGGAGTCCACCGGCGTCAGGATGGCTCTCACTCACCTCGCTGGGTAAGTGGTAAGATTAACCACACTAATGATAATCTAAGTTAACCTAATCTAATCAAAATTAATCCCCACCTTATTTCTTCTTAAGTTAACCACATTGATGCTAACCTAATCAAACTTAACATAATCTAACCCCCAGCTTTCATCTGCAGTAAGATTAACCACCTTGATGCTAACCTAACTTAACTTAATCTAAGCTTGTCTAACTTAGCTCCCCCCCCCAAGGTAGCGCAAGAGTGCTTAGCCACCAGGTAAAATAAGCTGGCGAGCTAATCTTCACAGATACCAAAGTTTTTCTTGGGTGGACGGATTTATGAATTGCATTGTATATATGTCTGGTATTTTTTTCATCTGGATTTTTCTTGATTACTGTATACTGTAGTAGATACTATATATGATAATTTTGAATATCAACCAAGTTAAGCAATGTTGGGTCTGGGTAGTACTTGGATGGGTAACTGCCTGGGAACACCAGATGCTGTTACTTTTACTTTTATCCTCTTCGTCACTGATAGGCTCGTTAGCTGCTTGGGCAGTCAGTCACATCTCTGTTACTCAATGTTGGCGAGTACTGGGCATGCACTGGCTCCTGAATGTATCTAAACCTGCTCCAGTGCTGGTCAGGTCTGGTCTTGAAACAGCATTTAAACTAAAGGGCCATACTGGAAATAAACATTTGATGGCTTTGTCGGCTATCCTTGGTCAAATTACCTAAATATCCTTGATAGGTTGCTGAGTGAACATGGTTAATTGACAACTAACTTATTTTTGTACAAGTTATCACAAAAAATACACACTTGGGTAATGTCTGGGCTGATTTGGGGGTCACAGAAAAAGTAAATATGATAAAAGATACAAGTCTATCAACAATCTCAGCATGTGCCAGCCCACAGGCCTCAACACAAGTAACCATTGACCAATAGATGAATTGAGGTGATTTGAGCCTGGTGGTCATGTAGTGCCTCAGTGGGGTGTTTGGTGGCAGAATATGGCCATGGTTTTCTATCAATAAGGATATTGTATACAGGATATGGTTGTAATTACTGCAGTAGTGTAATTGCTGAATTAGATGACTATGATTGTATCAGTAACCTGTTTTGTTACAGGAGATTACTGTGGTTAGCTCAATAATTTTTTTATTACAGGAAGTGGCCATGGTTAAGACTGAGTTTGAGACTCCGGGGGAGGGAGAATGTACCTTGGATATGCACCGACACGGAACACCCCATACATTTCCATGTTAGTAAAGAACAAGAGGAAACACATATTCCTCATTCTGTTGTTTCTTTTAACGGTATTATAAACTAAACCTGGGTAAATATTATAAGTTTTAGGGGACTTGGTATTTTTAATTTATTTATTTACCTTTTAGATACCTGTACTAATTTTGAGTAGGATTCATTTGGACAAATGGTTATGTAGTTGTGAAAGAAACACAAGTTCAGAAAAACAACTTTACTCCGTGATGAAATGACAGGAGTAAAGTTGTCTCTCTGACCATGAGTTTCCTTTGTTACCATATAACAATACAAGTTTTGTAATGCCAATAAAGTTAATATCACTATGATCTACTGTACAGGTCGCCCTAAGAGATGACAGCGTCAGGGTCGTGATGGAGGAGGTGCAGCTGCGACACAGGAACTTCAGGGGATGTCCCTTGAGTACCTTCACCCTATTGAAGGATTATGCCCACAATGTTGATGAAGGTTCGGCCATCACTACCCCAGTTGTTGATGGTCACACAAACACTACTCCAGCCTCTGATAGCAACACAAACACTACCCCAGCCTCTGATAGCAACACTAACACAACCCCAGCCACTGGTAGCAACACAAACACTACCCCAGCCACTGGTAGCACCACAAACACTACCCCAGCCTCTGATAGCAACACAGACACTACTCCAGCCTCTGATAGCAACACAAACACTACCCCAGCCTCTGATAGCAACACTAACACAACCCCAGCCACTGGTAGCAACACAAACACTACCCCAGCCACTGGTAGCACCACAAACACTACCCCAGCCTCTGATAGCAACACAGACACTACTCCAGCCTCTGATAGCAACACAAACACTACCCCAGCCTCTGGTAGCAACACACCCAGCCACTGGTAGCAACACTACTCCCAGCCACTGGTAGCAACAAGCCACTGGTAGCAACACTACCCCAGCCACTGGTAGCAACACTACTGGTCCCCAGCCACTGGTAGCAACACTACCCCAGCCACTGGTAGCAACACTACCCCAGCCACTGGTAGCAACACTACCCCAGCCACTAGCAACACTACCCCAGCCACTGGTAGCAACTACCCCAGCCACTGGTAGCAACACTACCCCAGCCACTGGTAGCAACACTACAGCCACTGGTAGCAACACTGTAGCAACACTACCCCAGCCACTGGTAGCACACTACCCCAGCCACTGGTAGCAACACTACCCCAGCCACTGGTAGCAACACTACCCCAGCCACTGGTAGCAACACTACCCCAGCCACTGGTAGCAACACTACCCCAGCCACTGGTAGGTAGCAACACTACCCCAGCCACTGGTAGCAACACTACCCCAGCCACTGGTAGCAACACTACCCCAGCCACTGGTAGCAACACTACCCCAGCCACTGGTAGCAACACTACCCCAGCCACCAACACTACCCCAGCCACTGGTAGCACACACAAACACTACCCCAGCCAATGGTAGCAATGCAAACACTACCCCAGCCACTGGTAGCAACACAAACACTACCCCAGCCACTAGTAGCAACACAAACACTATCCCAGCCACTGTTAGCAACACACACACTACCCTAACCTCTGGTAGCAACACAGACACTACCCTAGCCTCTTGTAGCAGCACAAACACTACTTCAGCCACTGGTAGCAACACTGACACTATCCTAGCCTCTGGTAGCAACACAGACACTACCCTAGCCTCTGGTAGCAACACAAACACTACCCTAGCCTCTAGTAGCAACACAAACACTACCCTAGCCTCTGGTAGCAACACAAACACTACCCCAGCCACTCGTAGCAACACAGGCACTACCCCAGCCACTAGTGGCAATGCAGAGACTACCCCAGCCACTGGTAGCAACACAATCACTACCCCAGCCTCTGGTAGCAACACAAACATTACCCCAGCCACTGGTAGCAACACAAACATTACCCCAGCCACTGGTAGCAACACAAATACTATCCCAGCCACTGGTAGCAACACAAACACTATCCCAGCCACTGGTAGCAACACAAACACTACCCCAGCCACTAGTGGCAATGCAGAGACTACCCCAGCCACTGGAAGCAACACAATCACTACCCCAGCCTCTGGTAGCAACACAAACACTACCCCAGCCACTGGTAGCAACACAAACATTACCCCAGCCACTGGTAGCAACACAAACACTGTCCCAGCCACTGGTAGCAACACAAACACTACCCCAGCCACTGGTAGCAACACAGACACAACCCCAGCCTCTGGTAGCAACACAGACACAACCCCAGTCACTGGTAGCAACACAAACACTATCCCAGCCACTGGTAGCAACACAAACACTATCCCAGCCACTGGTAGCAACACAAACACTATCCCAGCCACTGGTAGCAACACAAACATTACCCCAGCCACTGGTGGCAACACAAACACTACCCCAGCCACTGGTAGCAACACAATCACTACCCTAGCCACTGGTAGCAACACAAACACTACCCCAGCCTCTGTTAGCAACAGCACCAACTCGCCAGCTTTCCCCTACAAGTACCAGCTGCTAATCAGTGTTCCACAACCCTTTGTAGACGAGGCTATGATGGTGGAGATCTGTGATACATTTCTTAAACTTACTGATGACATTATAGCTAATCGTATTACTATGGTGTATGAAAAAGAGTTGCTTCAAAGTGACCCAAATACACAAACAACAGTTTACGATGAGCAGCTTGAACTAGTGGAAGCCTCGAGGTGCAATAGTCAGGCTAGTGACAATAATGCCAGTGTTTTGACGGGCGGCTATGATGGTGAGGAAAATGAGGATGAGAACAACGGTTACATTGAGAGGACAATTGATTCCTTAATCAGCAAGAATTTCATAAACAAGTGCAAAGCGGAGAGAGTGAGTTACATCAGCGGCTTCACGACATGTGTGAACGCTGCAGCCACTAACCTGGTGTTAGAGGCTGGCGATGGCCCTCAGTGTGAGCAGTTTGATGTCAACCACAGGCTCAACATTCATTACAACTGGCCTGAACCTCCCTACGAATGGCATGACAATGACGGTGAAGAAGAAGAAGATGAGGACGAAGACGACTCATCTCCCACGCGTCCTACTATTACCATCACGGCCACACCCAGGGGCTGGAACAACAACTTCTGGAGAACAGCCAGATCCGTCCATACTAAGCAGTGGGAGATGCCAAAGCGACTCAGATCTGCTGTGCCAAAGATCCTTGAGGGCTTTGAGAGTGAGAACGAGGTAGAATATGACCCACCACCACGGTACCCAGATGTCCACTTGTCTATATCCGACATCAGCGTGAGGGAGTCTGGAGAATTCTGCAGGTGCGGGGAACACATCAAGGCCACCAGCCTCCACAGAGTCTCTCTCCTCCGGCACCTCTTCCTCACTCACTCTATCGACCTCCAGATGCATGAGGAATCTCAGAGCCTTCGCTTCAACCTCAACCACTCCACACTCTTCCTCCCCACAGCCACAGGTCGACGCTTTGCCGACGAGATCGAATCTGTTGTGAAAAGTTCCCTCAAGTTTCGGTAACGAAGGTATCATGTAGACCTAACCTGTTACATGTTGACAAAGGTGCCCCCGTCACCCTCGCTCTCCTGTGTTACAAGCTAAAACTATGCTTGTGCATGTCACTTTAATATGCGTTTTTTTGTAATGCAGTCTATTCATAAATTATTCATTAGTTTGTGAAAAAAGTGTAGTCAATATTTGATACTGTGTCAGTTATTTACTAATACCATAATGTACTATACTCTAAATGTCTCGGTAATAAATTTCATAATTTGTTACCGAGGTTATTAGCGCGGAGGTCGAGTGGATACAGTGCTCGTCCCCAATTCTGGGGGTTGTTGGATTAATTCTCAGGCGCTCCCAGTTCACCCAGCTGTAAATGGGTACCTAAGTTTACAACTTGGGGGGGTGATGGCGGTCGAGAGCAGTACCGGCCATGCTGCCTCCTTGTGTAAGGAAGGCTTAGTTTACAGTGTGCTGTATTCACACTGTTCCTAACGGGCAGTCATGCCTATGGGAATCACTTTCACTTTATTCTATTGGTAAATGCCTATTCACAGGGAATAATTGAATCTAACAAATTCTGGCCAATGAGAATTAAATAATTTGTCAGTAACACTCACTTGTCAAGGGAATACTTCAAACTGAATAGCAAAGACCATTTCTTATGAATCATCAGATTTACCTTCTTTCTTACCCATTTCTGTCTTCGGCTTCCCTCTGCCACCGCCCACTCTTAAGACCTTTAGAGGGCAATCTAGCCCTTAGGTATTTTATTCTGATTAGCACCAGGCAATTATATTCAGCTGAGAGAAACCCCCTCCTCCTTAAAGGGTTAATATCTATCTTGACTAAACCTTTAAAGGGCAATGTAGCCCTTAGGTGTTTTATTCTGGATAATGCCAGGTAATTTTATTCAGCTGAGAGAAACCCCTGCCCCCTAAGGGATTAATAATATATCCTACAGTACTTTTTACTATAAATCTATATATGTTACTGGTTTCCTCTGGCAATAGCAAGACATACTTTGTTAAAAAGTATCATGAACTGTATACCGATAAACTGTGTGTGTGTAATATATATATACACGTATATATATATATATATATATATATATATATATATATATATATATATATATATATATATATATATATATATATATATATATATATATATATATATATATATATATATATATATATATATATATATATATATAAAATTTCCGCCTCCAAGTCATTAATTTTTTAATTAGGGTCTTGTTGTCTACAATATTAGAATTATGTTTCACCCGGTTTGGTTCTATGTTTTTTCTGGAGCCATTTACAATAGACAGGTTAGCTAAACCTGATGTAACACCATTCTGATTGGTTTGTAATCTGATAGGCTGGGGAGGTCACTGCATTTATGAACTAAACCAAATTATTCCTATTTGTGTGAAAGCCATTCTGTATACTGTACAGTGCGACATTCTTAACTCTAGTGGAAGTAACCTGAGGGCTGGCCTCAGGTTGGCAGCCACTGTGTATGTAGCACTCCTCATCACTACTGTCTTGACGCTCTTTTTCCTCGTATTCATTGCATTTTACCAGGCCTGATATTGACTCGTAACATCACGGTCACATCCGGTTCATGGTTGGGATCTCAAAGGTCAGTACAGTATATTCAATTTTACCCGTGACTGGTTATGAGAGACCAAACCTAACTGGCTGGCTCTCTTACAGACATGATGCGAAGAAGTTAATGTACAATTCTTGGCGACTCCTGGCAACCTTCACAATTATGGGTGCAGATCAATAACAGTGGTATGGTTGGGGCTCCATTTAACCCATCATCTCACTAGAAGCATTACCAATATGGCCGCTCTCAGACTCGACAACCATTATGTGTGTTTACAGTATTCTAGAGCAGCGAGATACACAAATCTTTCTACATTAGAAGGAGATATTTATTTATTTTATAATACTAATGTATCCTAGAACTTTTTTTTTATAATCTAGTCGTTGACAAGTATATGATCTCTTGTATACTGCTGTTGTTGGGTGGTTCATCAAGGTGGATGAGAAACGTACTGTTTTCTTGACCCTGGATCTCCGGTTTTGAGAGTGAGGACGTGGTGTGTTGAAAAATCTGAATTCAGGTGTATTCGGAAGTGTTTTATTGTTATTGTTGTTTATTATGTGCGAGTGTGTGTGTGTGTGTGTTTGGATAAATACCCTATAGTGTATAACATGAATGTTGTAAGTTACAGGAGAAAAACAAAATTTTTTTTTAAATAAAACTTTTATATGGACAAATCTGTATTTTAATTAACCCTTGATATATTTAAGATAGTTTTATCTCGAGGTCTGGACAATAATGATAGTAAATAAAATTTACCTATCATGAAATGAGATGAAATAACATAAGAAGTAACGAAGAGGTTAATTTGGATCTCAGGTTTACTGTACCTTTATCCTCTTTGCCGCTGGGTGGGTCGTTAGCTTCCTGGATGGTCGGTTACATCACTTGTTACTCACTGTTGGTCAAGTCTGGTCTTGAACGAGCTCACACTCGGTGTCATCACAACACTAGCAGATTGGTCCAAGAGTTTACAATTCTGGCTCTGAAAAAGTTTGCCCTGACAACTTTCTGAACTTGTAGCTTCAACCATAAGCTGTGACGCCTAGTGGAGCAGGCATCCGGCAGCTCCAGGTATGAACGCTCCACTGAGTAATGACCTCGTAGGTGTTTATAGACTTCAATTAAATCACCCCTTGCCCACCTATAGTATAAGCTGTATGACGATTGGAACTCGAGTTTATTTCACCTTATGATTAAACGCCCCAATGCTACTTGGTGGGTTAGGTAACCATTAGGGTGTTTAATGATCAGGTGAAATAAACTAGGTTCCCAATCTTCATGATATATGTATTAAGCTCTTCATTTCATTCTTCAATTATTTTAACCTCATTTCACCATTAATATTTTACTATAAGTCAATTTCCTTGTCATGTTGTTGAAGTGTAAGAGTTGTTTGTGAATTGGTATCACTTATTGCACCTTAAGATTAACCACCCCAATGCTAATCTAACCTGATCATCAGATATAAGTAATTATGACCATGATACTGATCTAATAATACAGTCACACATGTTAATATCTCTAACCTGTACTATACTGTACAGTACTGTGCTACTTCACCACTGCTATTACTACTACAGTCATTTCTGCTACAACGCGATAGTTGCGTTCTTGTGAAACCTCGCGCTATAGAAATTCGCGCAATAAAATAACAGGGCTTCTGGAGAAAATAGGGTTAGGTAAACGAACAATATCACATGTTCTTTCATTGCGTTCAAAATGCTTAATAGCATTGAGCTTCTCTTCAAGTGTTATACCCTTTCTTTTACATTCACAACCGTTAATTCGATCACCAGAATGCTTCTGGAAACATTCTTCTTACCTTGTCTTTCCATATTTATGTGTAACAAAATTGGAGAAAACAGCGAAAATCACAGAGGACACTTCACAGAGCAATCGACAGAAACCGAACGATTCCACTGATCACGTGATGTAAACAGAGAGCGCTGGTGTAAACCGTTATTAGTCTGCACTGAGAAACATTCTTTTTATTTATTCTTTTCATATAGTATTTATGGGTAACAGCTAAATTTGCAAAAAAAGAACAAAATTTACAGAGTACCTCTCAAAAAACACTTCACAAACAAAATACACGAATCATTTGAACATGTGATGTCGAACGTGAACTGTAAACATTGCATAAACCCGCACCACGCTACACTTAAAACGTTGAGGATGGAATCGTGTTATAGCCAACATTCGTATGCAAAAGTTCGCATTTTACAAACAGCGTTCCCTTATTCATCAAACGCGTTGCAATCAATTCGCGTTGACAAAACACGCGTTATACCAAAAATGACTGTACCTGTACTTACAAAAACTGAAACCGTAACAAAATGGTGCACAGAAATAATTAAAAGTTACTTTCTGGTACATACTGTACAAGGTGTTCCAAAAATCGCTTTGCTTTACTAGTTAACTCCACCTCCTCCCCCAGAAGCTCCAGACTTAATGCTTACAAAAGACTGAAATTCTCTTTACAATTTAACTTTAAGAGCAAGGTGTTTCAAAAGTTATAAAGTAAAGATAATTTCACAGACTTTATTAAGCACTGAAATGTATTTGTAGAATGACATTTATGAGGGTGTGAATGAGTGGATTAGATAATGTGTAAATTAAAATACGAGCGTTTACCCTGCACGAGGGTCAGCTTTTTAAAAGTAAGTACTGTACCATGGACGCTACAGCTAAAGTGTTAATTTCCATTAATATTAAAGCAGATGACAAATCTAACTTAGAAACAGACCTAGCATTTCTAAGCCAGTTTGAGTTACCTGAATTTGATTGGATCGTATCGAGTGGAAATTCTTATAATAGTTACGGGGTGGTACAGTATAGCTGTAGCATGTGTATCTTTCACCAGTGTCCTGGGACTGGATACTCAAAAGTATTTACAATATTGTATCTCCCAGTTAGGGTTCAGTCCAAGCCCTGGACAGATGTGAGAAGGGTGTTATCCAGTGTAACCCTACCAAACTTCGCAGGTTTTCTGTGGGTACTACCATTTCCTCCTGTACAGGTAGTCCCCGACTTACGACTGCATGGACATACGTCCGTCGGTACTTACGACCTGCTCTGACCTTACGACCGTCAGGACATATGACCGCAGCAGTCGTGACCAAAAATATTTTCAAATGACTTGCGCATTTTCTATACCGAAACGTTTATGTCCCGGGCGAGAGCGTGGTGCGGCTGGGTCGCCGCGTGGGTACACTCACTCAGTAGAGCGCTTAGTTGGTGTTTGGCTATCGTATCCTATACACTGATCGCGCTGTGAACTTTCGTTATTATCGTATTTAATTGATTTACAATGACTGGAAAGCGTAAAAGTGAGAGTGCTGGTGGTGCTCCAAAGAAAAGGAGACAGGCAATTACTTTTGAGATGAAAATGAAGATAATAACTCAGCATGAGAATGGTATAACTCAGCATGAGAATGGTATAACTCAGCATGAGAATGGAAAGACTGTAGCAACAATCTCACGTGATCTAGGTTTCTCACACTCGACCATATCCACTATTCTGAAGGACAAGGAACGTATTCGTGATGTAGTGAAAGGAACAACACCAATAAAGGGAACTATAATTTCAAAGAAAAGACGAGGTCCTATTCACGATATGGAAAAATTAATTGTGATATGAATAGAAGACCAGATACAGAAGCGTGTACCCTTAAGTGTTCTAACCATACAAGCTAAAGCAAGAAGCCTATTCCAAAGCCTGAAGGAGCAGGCAGGAGATGAGTGTGATAAAACCTTTACAGGAAGTCATGGGTGGTTTGATAGATTTAAAAAACGCTACAGTCTACACAATGTTAAGGTGAGTGGAGAGGCAGCTAGTGCCGATGTTGGTGCTGCCGAAGCTTTTAAGGAGGAGTTAGATGATGTGATTGTGGAAGGGAATTATTTGCCTGAGCAAATATTCAATGTGGATGAGACTGGATTATTGTGGAAATGCATGCCTGAGCGGACATACATCCACAAAGAGGCAAAAAAATGCCCGGATTCAAGGCATTCAAGGACAGAATTACACTTCTGTTGGGGGGAGAATGTTGCTGGTTTCAAGCTAAAGCCCTTCATGATCTATCATTCAGAGAACCCCAGGGCTTTTAAACATGTCAGCAAGCACACACTGCCAGTGTTTTATCGCAGTAATAAGAAAGCCTGGATGACCTTAGCACTGTTTGAGGATTGGTTCATGACTTGTTTCATTCCACGAGCCAAGGAGTATTGTCTGCAACAACGGATTCCATTCAAGATTTTGCTGATTTTGGATAATGCTCCGGGACACCCACCACACCTGGACGACATGCACCCTGATGTTAAGGTAGTGTACATTCCACCTAACACTACCTCTATCATCCAGCCCATGGATCAAGGTGCTATTGCTGCCTTTAAAGCGTATTATTTACGCACGACCTTCGCTCAGGCTGTTCCTGCTACTGAAGGTGAGAAAATGCTCAGAGAGTTTTGGAAGGAGTACAACGTTTTGTCATGTGTAAAGAACATTAGTGCAGCATGGGATCAGGTTACAAAACATTGCATGAATGGACTATGGAAGAAAATCTTGAATAGATATGTGAACAGTTTCAAAGGGTTTAATGAAAATGAAGTTATTTCGGATATTAGTAACAAGATAGTGGAGTTAGGTAAACAGCTGGAGTTAGAAATTGATAATGAAGATGTTGGACAGTTGGTTGAAAGTGTAGCAGAAGAGCTCAGTAACGAGGATCTTATTGAACTAGATGCACAGAAAATTGCAAAGGAAGAAGAGAGACAAAATGTAGAAGAAGAACCTGCACCCCCCAAAAAGTTTTCAGTGAAACAAATGGCAGAGGCATTTGCTACAATTAATAAAGGAATGCAAATGTTTGATAGCATGGATCAAAATTATAAGCGTTATGCCAAAGTTGACAGAATGATCCAAGATGCACTTGCTTGCTACAGGGAGATTTATAATGAAAAGAAAAAGCAAACTGTGCAGTCTAAATTGGACATCTATTTCAAGAAGTCCCCCAGTGCTGTCTCCTCACGCCCCACCAGTGCTGCCTCTTCACTCCCTCAAGATGATCCAATACCTTCAACCAGCAAGTTTCCACAGTACATAAACCTGTCTGAAGAAAGCGACATTGATGACCCACCCAGCCCCGTCTCCTCCTCTGCTTCATCCAATTAATATAGTCTCCATGTATCCTGTAAATAGAAAATTATGGGGGCCCTGTGTGCATTCAGCTGATTACATTAAAGGTAAGTGCTCAGTCACACTGTATTCATTCCTCATTATTTATTACTTTTACTGTACTGTATTGCATTGTAGATTTTTTTTTAAATTAGTTTTTTTTATTTTTTATTTTTTATTTTTTTATCTATGTCAGACTTAAAACCTGGATTTGGGTCCCTAACCCCGTCGTAAGTCGGTGAGAGACTGTACTTACAGCTGGCAATAAAGGACCTAACATCGAACAAACCAACAGCCCAAACGGCTATTAAGCTGATAGGTGGTAAAATTACAAGTTAAGATGAATGAATAAAGTTAACAGTAGCCATCCTGGACTGTTTGCAATAATGTGGACAAGAATGTGTGGTGTGAAGGGGGGTGTGCGGTCATTAGGTTGATTTATTTAAAGAATGCTCTGTAGATAGGTATACAGTACTGCTAGATAGAGTCAGTGAAATA